ACTCAATTTTATTCATAAACAATGCTACTTGAAACATAAATAGTATTTAGCTGGTTGCTAGAGCTAAGCTTGCAAATCATTGATAGTTAATTTCTTATTGACGTCGTTCAACAATTATCTATTATTATGGGAATGATTGCGCATGAGAACACGTTTTGAATATGGCAACGCATTTCTAAATATATAATTGAACCAAAAGACCTAATTTTTTGTCTATATCTACTGAATAAGCTACATATAAATCTGTGCTAAATTATGTAGTTCAATAATGCTTTTATCTACAGAGGCATACATCGATTAAGTAGAAGACTCAACAATACTCAAAATGAATTATCCTTTTTTTTTCTTTTTTTTTTTTTTCTTCAGGCTTTTTCCGAAATTAGAGAGGCAAATGGGAAAATAAAATAATAATTAGCTGAAAAGAGTGAGATCTTTTGGTATTGCTGCAGTTAAACCACTGTTAATTACAATTTATCGAACTATTCAAAGATGAATATTTCTTTACTTAATCAACGCGATGTTAACTCCACCCCCAAACAACAAAAACAAACTTTTTCCGTTCAGTTAGTTTCCTTTTATGCACAAATGAATCGGAAATATTTATTCTCAAGGAATTTTGGAATAAATTAACTTTTGGTTATAATAATGTATATAATAACACCTAATTCCAGAAATTCAGGCAGGCAATTTTATTTAAACTTAAGATAAAGAAGTAAATAAAGTTGGAAAGAAATAATGAGTTTGAAGGCAAAAATTAGCTAAAAAGTTTTTTGCTTGCTGATAAGCAACATCTTTTTAGTAAAATAGTGGCTTGAGATAAAACGTTAAATACATTGGATTTCAAAGTTGAATTTTCATGCAAATGAATTCAAATTCGCTATTATGCTGGATTGCATACGGTGTTTATTAAAATGGCTCCAAAAGGTTTACTACTTTAGATATGTTGACATAAGTTGGTTAGAATTTCTTGACATTTAGAAATGGTTTCAAATCTTTAGTCCATTTTAATCTCATAAAATCACGATAAGAAAACCTATTAAGAATGACTGAAATCGATAATCACGTGCGTGGTGTGTGTATGTGTGAAAACACCTATGTTTTGTTTCCAATATCAGTTAAAACTCATTTTTAGTAGAGTTTGGGTGTGGATCTTTTTGTGGCTATGCTAAGACTCCTTGGCGAAGCCAGATAACCTTCGACAAAGACAAACCTAGTCCAAATATTTTCCATTTAAGTTCCATTTTAATTTAGTCGGAGGGAGTACGAATGAAATGTTCACTGGCTGCCATTTTTGTTGAACTATCAAGACAGGAATGACTTAATGTTCACTGGCAGCTGCTAAAGCGTGATAACATCTGCTCTGCAGAAATAGGAAGAGGCCATTCATTTTAAAAAAAATATGGAGGCTATGTTTTCAGCTCCTGGCTCTAATATGGCTTTAGCAAGAATAAAGCTTCATGAGAAATCAACGACAAATAATAGCTGAACTTCAACATTCTTTCCTATTGTGTCTGCGTACATGTATGCGCAATCCTCGTAAGCAAATGCTGCTAATACCGCGGAGTATTCAGAAAATCAAAAATATAAATTCAGTCACCATTTGTTACCTGGATTTATGAAATCCAAAGCTTAAAAAATAAGATATTGAGAAATAAATTCGATGGAGGGAGTCTTGAATGAAAATTTAAAAAAAAAATGAATAAAAATTCTCTGAATATATCACCAAGCGTTATGCTTTCTTCCATTAATGAGAAGAAATTCAATTAATTGAAATGTATCATTATATGACAACTATAATGATGACAATATTTAAACAATTTTACAATTGCATTTGTCATATTTTCATTATAAGTAATCTAGAATTTTTATTTATACATTTAACTCATAGGTAAGGAAGAATTTAACTTTTCTAAATTATTGAAATAAAAACAAAAGTAATAAAGCAATGTATCAGCAGCTTGATCTCCCCACTTACAAATGTGATATTCACTTTTGGGGATCGAGTAATGCTCCACCCCCTCCCACTCCTAGCTGTTATGTTGATGGAAAACACTAAAGAAAATTGAAAGTAAACAATTATTTATAATGGGCAGCAATCTTATGTTTCATTCAATGTGATGAACAAGGAAAGTTTTATCGTTTCTTTTTTTTTTATTCAGTTTTTCTAATGTTCTTACAGTTTTCCTTCTATGGGGGCCAAGAGAGTGAAGAATGTTTCTGCAATGATTATTGTACCAAGCGCTTTCGGTCAGTTCCTTAAATACACATTTGTTTTTCTTAGTAAAATATAACTGAAGATGAAAATAGTGAAATGTATACAGCAAACTAATACTTACTGTAAAAGTAACTATTTGCAATAGAGATTTATTGCTATTCTAATTTGCTGCATATTTTTTTTATATTTCTTAGTTGAAACTGTTTTACCAACATCTTCTGCAATATGTTTAGCTAAGATGCTGAATTTGATCATTTTCCCGATAAACCTTCGTTCCCACCTATGTCAGATTAAAAAAATTAAATACATTAATTCTTTAGAAATTGTTTTGTTTACGTTTCGGATACAAAGCATCAGATATGGTTTTCGAGAAAATCTGACGAGTGGATGGACTTTAAGACAAGTAGAAGTTTTATCTAGTACGCAGACGGAATAAATACGGTTTGAAACAGTGTGTCTATTCAAATACTGGTATCCACTAAAAATAACGCCTGAAGCAATAAAAATACGTTGGATTAAAAATAAATTCTATGAATTCTTTAGAAATATATCTAAATTTTATTATTTCCTGCTTCGGTTTCGGCTGTTTGTTTTATTTTTCATTTTTCTTTTTAATCATGAAAAGTAAAATAAGTATAACCGTTTTTATTGCTATAATATGACTTTTATATATACAAGTGTTCTATTTTAAATATTTTTAAAAGAGCTTTTTAATACACATAAATATAACCTTTTTTTCATTATTTACTCAACGGCATTGATCCTTGGACGTTCCTGAGTTCTATAGTTATTTTTCATGTTTTTTAAAAAGAATGCGCGCGCATGTGTTGCTTTGCACATCATTATGTAATTCAATAATTCAATCAAATTATTATCCCATATCTTGGTGAACTCTCACCTGTATTCGCCCTTCATTTTGCACACACATTATAAGATATAGTACTGAAGAGAAATTTTTTATATCTGTTGATATTACACAACGCCAGATTCGTAGAGCACTATTGGAAACCGAACACATTAGCTGTAACTTACTATATTATGTCTCTCTATAACAAAAACGAGTTATAATTTTATAAAAAAAAATGATAATGTTGATAAATAATTCTTTGATAAACCTTGTAAGTTTCTCACTGGATCGCAAGCTATATATCTCTTACGATTCTTTCATATTATACTCCTTGTAAACCCCTCAACCCTTTCCATTTAGTTTTCTTATGCCCATCCTTGACCACCAATTGAAATGCTCTTTGTGAGGCCAAGGCGATCTTGCTAATAAAATTTGACGTCGCAAATTATTATACGCCCCGCATCCTAATCGTTTTCAGCCCCTATAGTCAATGTGTCCTTGCGACTGTTAAAGCTAATATCAACTTTCCTCTCTCAGCATCTCTGGTTTCGGGGATTTTTTTCTAGGGAGAGAAGGAGGAAGGAAAGGTAAAATAAGCATAATGAAGGAATACCGCCCCCTAAAAAAAAGGGCCTAAAATGCTATTTTACCAACTAATTCCTGTTAACTAGTGACCTTTTCTCAACTAAATTTGTGGGGCAGGGTAGGAATTTTTGGTTAAGGCATCCTCAGGTCAACATTAACCATGTTGGCATACGATATTAAGTTTTGATGCACTTTTTGGGGGGGCTTACAAGTTTTTTAACTTTCAGCAAAATAAATATAGATTTTGAATCCAATAAAATAATCTTAGCGAGGAAAAATTTGCTCCCGTTCTTTATACAAACCAGCTTCTACACATAGAAAAATTAGGAACTCGATATCTTTTAGTTGATATTTACTAAATATCATTGAAAATGTATGGATTGTAGTTTATTTATTCTAAACATCTTTGATTCAGATATGTTTTACTGACTATTAATATTTTTACATTGTATTCTTCTGTTGTCAGTATAATTTGCGAGCTACGAATAAATCATGTGGTAATTGACATACCTTAATACTGAAAATTTAGTTTAGATATATTCCTTGACACGAATGATGCCTATAATAAATATTATGCAGTAATACAACTGCGTATGCTTTGAGTTTCTGATTGAATAAAAGTAATTTTCAAATCGAATTTCTAAATTTAGAATAAAAGAAATTAGATGTGTTGTTAGGAATGAGATTGTGTTGTGCCAATATTTCCAAAGAAACTGAAACCATCTGCATTGGATTTTCAAACATTAGCAGTCGGAATCCTTGGTTTAATCAAGGCTCGAACTCCTATTACTGGAACAAATTATATATAAGCAGCAATCTCAGTTTCGAGACAAGCCCAGGATTGTTTTATCGTTTTCTGTCTGTAGGTAAATTCATAATTAAAATGTTTCAAATTTTGCTCATTCTGTGCTTTGATGTCACATTTGATACTAACTAATATTATGAACAAACAAAGATAACGAGAAACACTAAGGATTAATTGAAATTAATCTTTTTGGAGATTCGGTCAAATTTTGTCGCTCGTATAAAGCAAAATTCCCATACCTCCCACACCATGTTTTCCGAGGATATTACAGATTTGCACACGCGTGAGACGAAATTCAACTTTTCGAGAATATTGTTTAATTTTGTAAAAAAAAAAAAAAAGAAAAAAAAAGATTTCTATTATAGGGTTTATTTCCTAATGCGTTTTATAGGTGCCATCAATTTTGGGTAAGTCAAGTTGAAATATTGAATTGTTTGTTTTTTTGTGTGTCACGTTTGTAAACTAAAGTAACTTCACATTATTTGTTTCTCATGTCCTTTTAGTTTTCGTTCTTATTTCATATATTACAACTTTACCTCCTTCCACAGGTCCACGTTCACGAAAAATGAAGAGAAAAGATAAAAAGCCGGATGAGAAACGACCCCGAACAGCATTTACCCCAGAACAACTGCAGAAATTGAAACGCGAGTTTGATCTTGGTAGATATCTCACAGAAGATCGTCGACAATCTTTGGCCAAGGAACTCGGTTTGAACGAATCACAAATAAAGATTTGGTTCCAGAATAAACGCGCCAAAATGAAGAAAGTTTCTGGCACCAAAAATCCACTTGCTTTACAATTGATTGCTGAAGGATTGTATAATCACCAGACTAGCAAAGATTGACAATACCATAAAGAAAAACTAATAAACGAAATATTTTTGCAATATCCAGTTCATGTCTAAAAATAAATACACTTTTCGGCTATATAAATTTAATTCTCCATCAAATTTACAAATTTTAGTTCTGGTCATAAACCCTACTTTTGGTAGGCACCTTAACAGACAAGTCGGACAGTCTGATATGATTTTTTTAAAGTTTGCCACATACAGGTCAATATAGCAAGCAAATGTATTGACATATTTATATACGTTTGATGGAGTTTATTACTCAAGAACTGTTTTACTATAACTATGGATATTTCGCCATTGAGTGGTTATATGCACTGATGAACAGGTTCTGATTTCTGCGTAAGAAATTGATTTTATATATATATATATATATATATATATATATATAACTTTTTAAATCATCGATTTATTGCAAAACACATGAATGTTTTGTGCATGAGAATGTGAAAAAATGATTGAGGGAAATTGGGACGGATACATCTTAAAATTTAATGTTTTTTGGCAGTTGATGGTTTTATGTTTGAATTCAATGACACATGAACGATATTTTTGAAACTGAAGATAATGGCGATCTTCAATGGCAGCAGTGGTTATTCTATGCATTTAAATTTTTCAAAACTCCTAGCGTTCAAACACATGAGACTAGCATAGAATTTCCGAATCACATTTAACTGGTCTAGTGAGCTTGATAGAATTTTTTATAGCTCTTTGAATCTTAAATCATGCTCTTTATCACGTGGTACTTTAAACACATATGCCTATGTTACCGGTGTGACAACCCAGGTTGAGTGGATTTTGGATCGTACCTGTGAAACATCAAGAATATCGTCCTTGCATGAACCCAACAAAATATAGCAGACGTCAGATGGAAATATTTTTGCATTGAACTGTTATTCTCCATTACAAAACTAATACCACTACTGAAATATCTGGTATAAATAAAACATTGTACATATGCTTGCTAGTTTCGTATGTATGCTAATAATATTAATGAGTGTAAAAGGAATTAAAACATTGAAACTCCTCTTTAATCAATACTTTGTACGTTTTATAAATATATTGAGAAATTGTTACATCAATTTGATTACAAATAAGTTGATTATGAAATAATGATCATGTTCAAATAGGACTAATTAAAAACAATTTTCAATGGACTATAGATATATTAAGCTTAGCCCAACCTTGGTAGAACAGATCCGATGAGAGATATAACTTGCTGATCATGGCTTGTGAGATTACCTTATTTTTCTAAAGTATAGTAAATCATAAGTGGCAAAATCATTACTGCACTGTTGAAATAAAATCAGAACAAGTTTATGGAATTCAGAGAATTTCTAGTTGCATGATGATTATAGTTGTTAATATGAAAAGTTTCAACGAAACGATAAATAATCGATAATTACTGCTTAATAATGTCTTTATAAATTGTTTTACTCAGCAACTAATTTTAAGATATTAAAGCTAAAAATGAATCTGAATGACTTTCTTGAGAGTAATCCATGTTTGACAAAGTATCATTACTTTTTATTTATTTATTTCTGTATAATCAAGAAAGCGATTTGCTCTGTATTCTTTTCAAATTTTATTCCGTATAAAACGAAAAAATAGGAAGAAAATTAAACAAGAAGCAAACGTTAGCATCAGCATATATACCATTAATTCAGGAAACGAAATTTAAAATTACCTCTGGAAATCAATTGTAGAATTCCGTGATGCAGTTTAGATTTGAATTTGAAAAGCTTGAAAATGGCGTGAGAAAATATATTATTTGCTTGTTCTTCCTTCCATATGTACGTTGAGATTTGCAGGAATGATCCACATGACAATATTCTTAACAAATTTGTTGATGCTTTAGAAATTACAAAACAATTTTCACTGTTTTGTGATCGGGACATCATTACTCATTTTTCAAAGAGGATATATTGTCAAGCAGAATATTTAGTATTGAAAAATTGCTTCGTAGGTGATCATCGTTCTCCAGTTTTGTGTGAATTGCCATATCTTCTTGGGGAATGATAGTGAAGTGGATTTCTGTTACCTTCTCGCAGACTGGTTGCTACCGACAATTAAAGAACCGAGTCTACCATGTTATTTAACTCTTAAATGAAGTTAAGTGATACTTTCCAAGGGTATGAGTGCGAAAGTGAATGAGCCGTTAAGACAACTGCACATGTAAAAAGTATAAACTGTTTAAATTTATTCACAGAGCATGTTCGTCAAAGTCACGCAAGATGATATTCTTAGAGTACAATAAAGACAAGCTTTCAAACTATTGCCAGATCCTCTCCAAGTAATGTATGTAATAGATAACAAAAAAATAAAAACTCGAAATAACCATGTTCATAGATTCACTATCAACTTCCTATTGAAGGGTGAATAAAGTTTCTAGGTATGAAATTCGTCCACCTGTGGGCTCCAACGTTGAATATTGTTTAGCAAGTTCGATCCTCACTTTGTGATATATATTTGCGCAGTATATACTTACAATATACTTCGTTCACTGATCATTAATTACATTAATGCCTTTCACTTTCATTGAAAGATACAAATGTATTTTAAAGAAAAAAATGTTAGTACTTCACTGGACATTTAACGGCGGTACTTCCTCTTACGTGCAGGTAATGTAGCGGTCATCGGTGTGGAAAGTGGAATCGACGAACGAAGTTCAATTTCTCGCCTAGTCTATTGCGTTCACTTTCGCAGAAACGCCCTTGGGAAAGACATGAATCCATGTCTTTTCTCTTTAGACTGGCTGTCAACCAAGGCTACCTAAAAGAATGATTGCTCTGAATGCAAAACTGCGGAGACGTTAACGGGAAACCATTTCACTATTTTTCTCGAAGTCATCATAAGCAATTTTTGGAGAGCCATGTTTGCCTGTATCTTTCAGGGATATGGCATTAAAAAGTTTTTCTGTCAACATTCATAAAGAAAACAATTATTTTACCAGCAGGTTAAAGTTATATTTTTCTGATACTGGTAAAGGAAAAGGATTAACTTAAAATATAAACGAGAACAGACGGAGAGTATTAAAAGTACGGAATAACATATAAACTGAGAGAAGGAACGAAATGGTATCCTATCGAAAATCTAGCTTGAAGAAAAAAACCCTAAAAAGAATGACTTTATTGGTTTGGGGAAAGATATTATCAGAGACCCTGTGGAAGGCTTCAACGCACAAAATCCGAGAAGGAATAGTGAAAGTAAATTTGAGGTCAGTTGAGAATTTTGGAAACGGAACCAAAAATTGAGGAATTGATTTGTCTGCTTAATTAAAGTGGAAGTTACGAAAACATGTCTCATGATTGCCAGACGGAAGAAAGGTTCAATTGTGTTATAATATTTGGTAATTTTGAAGACGAAGGCAGAATCAAGAAACTGATTGATGCCTGCCTGTCAAAGAGCGGGAATAGCTTCGCTGATTTTGGAAATGTGAGAAATAGGATTTTGTCCTTCGCTGGAAGAAAATGAAATGCAAAACAAAGCCTGTAAGGTTCAGTCTTGGGTCAAAGTCTAAGTAGAGCGCTTAGTAGACCCAGAGAGAGATGAGACAAGCGACGAAGAACAGACTGAAATCCACGTGACTGAGTCCAGTTCCAAGAATTGGCACCAATAGGCAAAGTGTCACTAAAGAGATTTTAGTGGGAAGGGTTAATGCTGTTATACAAACAACTACATAAACCAAATCGAAAATTGACCCAAAGAATCTATCGTTTTTATTTCGTCTGCGAAAACATTTATTTTTTTCCTTTATAACACAGCTTCGCCGTGGTTCGAACCAGCGCTGCGATTACTGACGATACTCGATCTCCACTGCTCTGTGATCAAGAAAAACAACGTGAGCGGAGCAAAGTGTGGACCATGGCGGCCAGCGACCAACGGCCCGTTGATCATCGACAGTATCGACCAACTTTGAATTAACCCTTAATTCTATGACCCTGAGGACCAAGTCTGCTATAAACGTCATATCATCTGTCACTGCTGACCAGGTTCGACCCAGGATCGGCCGGGGCGATTTTTGTTCTAATAGAAATGTTAGCGATCAATTCACTTTTGTATATTTACGGAGAAAACATTTTTGCGTTCCCAAAAAGTAGTTTTTGTTTTTGAGCAGAACAAATTTTTAGTCTGCATCAAAAGATATTGTAAAGTGACATAAAAATGTTTATTTTTCTGCTGAAGCTTTTATTTCCTCTCACGATCATAACGATTAGGTGAACTCATTTTACTAATTATCAAAATGCAGAAAGACACTGACACTTTCTTGTGTATTGTTAAAGAAATTTAATTTGTTCTTCCCATTATATTCAATGGAAAATGCCAGTATACATGTAATACTTGATCTTACGCTAACTGTCGCACAATTTCATCGAAATAAAATCACGTTTTTATATTTGCTTTCATAAAGTAAAACATTTCTGTCATGAAATGACTCTATTGAATTGTAATACATCAAAATTCGAGTTTTTATTTATAACAACCAATTTAGAATATATTTTTCAATGTCAAACGTATAAAAGAATTTCTAAGTAAATATACTCGGAGCGGCCAATCGTGTTAATTTATTCTTCGGATTACATTTTAGAGTGTTCGGAGGAGGATAAATTTCTCGCCTGAAAACTTTTTTAAAACAGAGTTAGTGCATATCTCTTAGTAACAGCATAGAAAAAATTACTCAAGTAAAAGAATTTTTGCTTCGACTTGATAAGTCTTTCTTCCCATACAATACGCTGCTTAGACTATTTTTCACAGGCGGTCTCATTGCTAACAAACCCTGTTAGTAGTCTAAAGATCATTGTTTCTCTTCTTCGCTTAATAGCTTAACAAATGGAACCAGCAGTCAAAATGCTATCTTATCTTTAGTAATTTATCTTATTTTATTTGCAATTTATATCCTCGGTTAACTTTCCAGTTTTCGTGCAAAGCGTAGAACTTGACGGGCAATTTGCAAATAGTAAAAGTAAATTGTATTGTGGTGGGAGTGTTGCTTTCAG